CCAATTAACAACTAATGCTTGGGCTCTAATAATTGGAAATCCCTGCAGCGGCTAAAAGCAAAAGTTTCACTCAAGTACCCTGATAGAATAGCTCTGTTACTGTTGATTTCTTTGAATTAAAGTCAGTCTTTTAGTGTCCAGTTTTCCAAGGGCCTTCAAAACCATGACAGCAACACTCCCCTCCCTTGCATATTTGCACATGCAAATAAGCACCTGAGCAAAGTGAGACAGCGGCTTTACTGTTAGATACCCATTTGGCATATGCAAATGTTTGCTGTATCATGCACAAATATTGAGCCACATTTTCAGTAGAGTAACTTCCATTTTGTGAGTGCAGTTTGCACTGGTCATGTTGTACTTGACTTGGATTATAGGCATGAATTGAAGTGCTGGTGTCTTTGAGCTGCTTGAGCACGTAACTTGGATTGTTACAGGCACAAGAACACTGGTTTTCACATGTATGGTTCAATACATATACAAAGGGTACATGGGACGATAGTGGCAACGACACAGAGTCAGTGGGCACAAACCCCTTTGTTAAGAGATTGCGCTATGGCCAGTAGCAGCTAGTGCCCTTCTTGAGGAATGGATTCTGCCCCTTCACGTGCTATAGCCCCCTTGCATAGGCTGGTTTACTTGGTCTCTGTGCAAGGGAGCTAGATTCCATCTGCTCTGATTTTGACATTATGGAACCCATAATCCATAGGAAAGGCTTGTATTTTAGGGTGTTAGACTAGGTCTCATAAGACCTGAGTGCTGTTGGCAGCTCAGCCACAGATTTCCTGTATGACCCTGGGCAAACCACTTTACCTCTCTGTGCCTCAGCTCCCCATCTGCTCAACAGAGATAATATCAGTCACCTGCCTTACAGGGGAAGGTGAAGATGAATTCCTTAATGCTTGTGACAAGCTAATTTGCTATGGCATTTATGAGCCTAGAGAGAGAAGACCTTATGTCAGAATCCATATTCTTCTCAATCCTCAGTGCAAGGGTCTGTGTTGCTTTACAAAAGGCCAAATCCACATTACACAAGGGAGGCAGGTATTCCTCTGATGTGACCTGGCATAGCTCCACTGACATCACTGGGGGGGGAGGGGGAGAAGGGGGGTTAAAATACAGATGGCTACACCACTAGAAAAAGGATCCAGAACTGAATGTTCCCTTGACTTTTCAGCTTAAATCTGTCTTATTGCAAAAAAGTTTGCATGCAAATTTGTAGTAAAGTGGATCTCTGAAAAATAAGCCAAACAGGGCCAAAACTGTAATTTGTAAAATTCTGTTGTGTCAGGCTTCTGCTCAGAACAACTCTTTACAGATGAGTAATAAATCCCTGTAAAGGGAGCGAGGGAGGTGTTTAACGATAGAAAACATCCTGACTGACCCATTGCAACACAGGAGTTAGTGGGAACTGTATACATTTAGTCCAGCCAATTCAAAAGAGCAGAAGCCTTAAAGGATTCTTGCTAGCACTTTTACAGTGAGGATGTTGACTAGAAATAATAGAAGGATTTTTATCATACTCTTGCTTGTTAACATCCCACAGTAACAGAACTGTTATTACTAACTTCGTGGGCTTACAGTGCTAGATCCCAAGTTTGCATGCACATGATAAAGTCACAATTTTAATAAATGAGTACTTTTAAAAAATCAAATCCCATCTTGACATGTAAATTTAAAAGCTTGCACCAGCAAAAGAAAAGATAACAAAGGGTCACAAAGTTGTTGCTCAAGCAATACTCACATTCTAATCAGTGGACCTAAGTCAGACTAAATCAACTTAAATCAGAGCGATGTGACACGATTTCAAGTAAGCTCGATTTTCTTCTTATCTAGGGCCCTATCCAATAATCAAAGCAGATACTCTCACTAGTGTTGGTGAGCATCGAGTCAGGTCCTTGTAGCCATATAAATAAGAGATAATTCCTAGTCACGTCATTGCAGGTATGCCACTATAAAACCAGGGCAAATGAGAGGACTCTCTTGCTTGGGTGGAGTCCTACAACAGTAAGTTCTGCAGGAACTGACCCAAAATCCTTGCTAAAGGAGATCAAACTAATCTGCATTGCAGGATAAATTCCCCTCTAATCTTTATGCTGCAGGTAAGAAATCCTGCTTATTCAGTGCTTGTTTCCTGGACATTGCCAGGAGCTTTGCATGTGAAGCAAGGGCAGAATATGCATTAGGAAAGTGACTATATATAAGAGTGGGTAGACAGTCATTCCCTACAGTTGTGGAGTGCTAGGAACACAGTTTGATACATCTAAGCAAGCTGCAGATTCTAATGACAAAGGGTAGCCACTGAATATAAATGTCAGTTGTCTTAAAGAAAGAGCATGCACAATCCAATGCCTCTTCCCTGCCCACCAAACCCCAGATATGTCAGGAAATCTACAAGGTATATAAAATGGAAGCAAGAGTAATTTTTAAAAAAGAAGCTTTTAAGCCAAATTAAAAGTGGCATGATTTTTAATTTATTTCTTAAATAAGTGTAAGGTTAAGAAAACACTCAGCTGGAGAAAAGGCAGAAAAATATCAATTACCTTTTACTTTGATTTCTTGGATCAAAGATCACAGTCATTCTGTTTCATATAATGTTTTGTATCCAGCTAAGATGTGTATCTATCAGCTCTGAAAAAGATTTGCAAAACCATTTTTGAGAAAAAAAATTGTAACCTTCAGCCTATTTCATAAGGCCAAATGTTACAGTTATTGGCTATTCTTTCATTGTGTGTCTTAATTTATTCAATGGACATTTCGGCATACATAATATACAAGGCAGAACTTAACCGCTGACCTTTTTATTTGCTCAGATCCAGCACTCTATTTTGCTTTTTTATACATTTCCTAACTACTGTTATCTAAAAAGGAATGTTAAAAACTTATACCAATACATTACCTTTATTTAAACTGTACGAGAAGTGCCAATAATTTGATCTGAGATTTCTGAGGCACAGGAAGTCCATGTGTCTAATAAGCCAGGTTAAGGACTAGTCATTGCCTTTTACAGTAATTCCATAATCATTATCATTGTAGTGGCCCAAGTGAAACATGAATATAAATATGCCAAATCTAATCTCAGCCTCTTTTAGGTTACATGGTGGACATGCATATGTGTTAGACTATTGTATCATCTATAAAGAACAGTAATGTTATGTGCAAAGAACTTCTGAAAATTACATCTTTGCTTCAACCACATAGGAAGTGAAACTGTTTTTTTATAAAATGGCCATACTTTATATTCAGTTTTTTTTAATCTATCAGATCTCTTTAGATTTCCTTTCAATTCACTATGAAAGCCTTTGGCTCCAATTTAAACCCAGTGCAAAGATTTTTTTAAATCATAGTATTAAAGAATTAAAAATGCTCTTTCAAGACTAATCTAATATTGAGTCCAAGATTCACAAATGTCTTTGCAGTTGGATTTCAAGTACCTATACATAGAAGAGAAGTATTTTACTTGGCTCCTGAAGATGGTGCACCACCATATTTATGTGCTTAATCCTACCATTCTGTACATGCCATACTTTAGACCCTCTGTCTTGGTAAACCATCCTTTGAACATGCGAGCACATCTATTTCCTGAGGTACTAACTCAGTTATATCATCAGGAAGAAGCCAAGTACCATGAAACTGCACTGGCAAAAAATATAGGGAGACTTTTTAGTTTTGTAAACAACAGAATGGAGAACTTGTTCTGGAACTAGAGAGATCTAGAAAGAGGTACTCAGCTCACAGTCATTGAATTACCTCTACGAAATTCCACTCCCTAATTTAAAGAATAAGTTTGAACCCTTCCTGGACCTATTCCTCCTTTACCTCTCCATAATCTGTGTATTTCCTAGCTCTCCCACCATCCCGCACATAGTGTTGTCAATGTCATTTAATTGAGCAAACTCTTCACAAAAATTAGATATGTAAAAGTAAATGATGATTCTGCCCCCATGCATATATTTTATGCCAGTTTAAATGAACCTAAAACCCATCCAACCAACCAGATCTTTCCAGGACTCTAACATACGTTCTCTAGAATTTGACGGACAACAGAATCTAAATACATTTCATGCAATGAAGTAATATTTGCACTTGTGGCTAAAGCCTGGCTCCACCCAGGCCCGGCCTTTGGGCAATGCGAGTGAGGTGGTTGCCTTGGGCCCCGCGCTGCCCAGCTCCTGGCCCCACCCACCCCGCTGCTCACTCGCAGCCCTGAATGGGCGGCGCACAGCCATGTGGCTCAGCCAAACACAGTATGCTGCCCTGGGCCCCACAAACTCTTTGGCCAGGCCTGGCTCCACCTAGCTCAACATCAAAACTTCCATTGACTTCAAAGGGCCTGTATTTGGTGCAGGATGTTTGTTATACTGTCTAGTTATCCGACTTTGATAGGGCTACGTGCAAAGTAAGGAACAAAGAAGAGAAAAATGGCTATTGTGCTATCGTGCCCAGAATTTTTAACAAGAAGCTTGACATGTCTGTAATAGAAGAGTGAAAAAAATACGTGTCTGTTCCTTTCAAATCCAAAGTCTCCTGTGTGCACAATGCATCATGAGTATCTAGGGAAAATTCCAGACAGATCATCAATTTGCTCATATCACAGATTATTATGACCCTAGAAATCCAGAGGATATTTTGCATGTTTCTATTATCAATATCCTGCCTAACAGGGAAGCTGAGCCTAACTCATTTATAAAAATTTGCCCTTAAATGTGTCACTAGGAAGTGTCACTTAGTGGTTGGAGCACAAGACTAGCTGCTAGGATACCTATACTTGGTTCTCAGTTTTGCTATTAACTTGTCATGTAGCATTGGCCATGCCACAGGGGCAAACATTTTCCAAAGCACTGGTTCTCAGCCAGGGGCTCGGGGCCCTGGGTGGCTGTAAGCAGCTTTCAGAGGATCTGCAAAGCAGGGTCAATGTTAGATTTGTTGAGATCCAGGGCAGAAAACTGAAGCCCTCTTAAGCTAGAGGTCCTGAATCCTTCCACTTGGGCCTGAAGCCTGAGCAATATAGTTTTGTGGGTCCCTGTGGCATGGATCCCCAGGCAATTAGCCTGCTTGCTGTCCTCTAATGCTGGTCCTGGCTTTTAGATGCCAAAAATCAGTTACTGTGGCACAGGTGGGCCATAAAGTTTTTATAGCAGAGTACAGGCAGGAGTTCAGAAAGAAAAAGGTTGAGAACCTCTGCTCCAAAGTGTCCCCTAAGGGTCTGATTTTGAAGGCAGAACAGCACTTAATGGGGTTTTTAGAATTGCCTAAGCAGGTTAGATACCTAACTTCTGGAGCCACCATTCTGTGGCACATAAATGCCTTTGAGAATCTGGCCCTATGTGCCTAAGTCTTTTGATGTCCACTTTGAAGTACTCAGGGCAGTTTGCCTAAACTTCAGTGGAGTTATCTCTGAGAATCAGAACATAGATATTCCAGTTTGGACATCCAAAAATTGAGACACCTCAGATTGGATAACATGTTTGAAAATTTGAATCTTAACATCTCTGTGTCGGCATTTACTCATCGTTGAGCTCCTCAGACAAAAGTTACTATGCAGAAGTACAGAATAGTACCATAAACAGCAAACATTCTGGGCCAGGAAAATGTTCCTTGAAGGCATTTTCTTTTCAATGAATTAAGGAAAAAAATGAATGTACAAAGAGAGAAAATTGGAGCTGTTTGCCTGAGCATAACTAATTTGAAACTTGCCTTAGCCCTAGACTCAATTCTTATAAGTGTGTGAAGAATTATTGGGTTCCTTTACTGTTTAGCCAGGCTTCACATGGGGCAAATAGTTACAGCTTTGTAAATCAGTAATAAGTCACACCTGAGTTTGTAAGTGACTGGTTAAGTCATTACATTTCTGTGGCCAGAGGGCTTTCACACAATTAAACTGGTTGTTTAATTCCGTGGAAACCAATTTATTAAGATCCCACAATAAGAGGACTGCAATCTCAAGTACAGAAAGCAAATGGGGGAAGAGGTATTATTTATAAAGCCCAAAATCTCCGCTGGGAAAAGATAGCAAATATCACCTTACAGCAAATTACGGTGAATGAGATGCTTAGAGTTTTAAATGATAATAAAGGGTTATCTGTGGTGGTTTCTGTTATTTAAATGGTTTCCCTTTTAAAGGCCACTGGATAGCAATAAATTAAGGATTGTAGGTGGCTTCTCCATGAACAGGGAATAACTAGTGCTGCAGTGTTTGTAGGACACACACATTAATTTAACTTGTTGCTTAACTTTTCTCAGCAAGGAAAGGTTTGTTGTTTTGCAATTGCAAAGCAATATTTTTTTTTGCTTCAGAAGTGTGATTTCCTGTTTGCTTGATGGATTGCAGTATTTTATCATTGGTTTCTCATCAGAAGATTCTAAGATAGGTACAGACTCTGCCTACACATTGAGCTGGAGGAAGAATTTGCGTCAGCTGGAAATCAAGAAAGTGCACTTTCATGCAAAACTTTCATGTACTTTCCCTCCTTTCATACAAGCCATTTGGTATTCTTATATTGTTGCGAGAGATATTTTGAGTTGTTTGGGAGGCTCTGCCCCTCCAATGGCCAGAAAACTACCATATGGGGACTGAATTTATTACTCTCAAACAGCAGGAAAGAAGGGAATCTGCATGACATGCCAGGCACAGGGAATGTGCAACTTGACATGTCTTTCCCAGCACGCACTTCATGTACTCAAGGTTGAGTAGACTGCAGAAATTCAGTGTGGTACCTAATACCATCCTTGGTGTTCCAATCCATCAGTCAGTGGACTGAGGTACTAGTCAGTATTAATAAGGCCCTGTACCACAATCAGGCCCTATATAATTAAGGAACAAGCCTCCTTAATCACAGCAAACCTCTAGACATCATGCAAAGAGGAACCTATAAATTCTATTTATAGTGCTTGATAGTTTGTTCAATCTTTATATAAATTATGAAGACATACATGACGGATTGGAAAGGGATTTGATATCATCATGTGGGAGTTCTGAAAGTGTAAATTGTCAATTCCAAAAAATATATCTTGACAGTGGAAACCTGATTTGGATTTGTTGTGATGTTTAAGTCCAGCACTTCCTTGCAGATTTGATTTGTACTAGTTAATAACAAAGTTTTTTTAAACATTATTTCTGATTGCATATATTTAGATATGACTTTCATTGTGCAATTGTTTGATACCAGCATGTTTTACCTGAAATTGTAAGAGAGGGACACGTGTTTGAGTCATGCTCTCTATGGTTTGTAGAGATTAAAATGGAGTTTAGTTTTAGTAACCATGTGATGAGATCAAGTGAAATATCCCCAAGTAACACACTCGTTCTTTGAGTAAATATGTGCAAACTTATATGGAAGTGGGGAAGGGAGTTGATTTCCTTAAACCAGAATGGATGGTTAAAGCAATAAAGAAGTGTTTCAGCAAAAAGACTGAAATAAAAGAAGGGACATAAACACAGTGCCAAAGTCTCCACTTGGTCACTCCTACTTTAGGATGATGTAACCCTGTTACACTGATGTAAACTGGAGTAATGCAGTGGTGAATCACAATTACACTTCTCAATAAGTGGATATTTCGAGCTCCATAAACTTGTTACATAAATGCTGAGCTAAGTTGTGCTGTTTGCGATTAACATATCTTCCTTTTAA